AAAGTAGCTGTAAAACATCAGCTCCAGTGGTGCAGATGGATAAGCACATGTCGTTGGCTATTTTACGCGATCGACCCGGGTTCGATCCCGTCTTTTGCCGAACTTTTTTTTTCTCCCTTTTCAAATCTCGTATCACATTGTAAAGGCATTTATTTTCAATAAAAATTAAGGAAATAATCTAAAAGTTGAAAATAAAATATCGGGTAGGGTTAGGGTAGGTGATGGGAGGGCTTTATTGTACCAATAAGGTGGCATCCATTTAATAATTAAAATTATAATTTACAGTCAATACGTTATTATTGCATACTGTTTTATAATGTACTACAATGCTGAAGTGCAGATAATTGCCACTATTTGCAACAAGTAGTATACTTGATAGTAGAAATCCTGCTATTTTAACATAGTGTAAATAGGTATTTTCACTTAGTGTAAATAGAATCCATTGCTAATATGAGATTTGAAAAGGGAGGAAAAAAAAGTTTGGCAAAAGGCGGGATGGAACCCGGGTTGATCACATCAAAAAGCCAACGACACGCACTTATCCATCTGCGCCACTGGAGCTGATGTTTTACAACCACTTTTAACTAAATATAAATAGACACTCCATATGTTTTACTCCATAGTAAGGGCAATTCATACAATACATTTAAACTGAGCTACTTGAATACCATCTCCGAACATTCAACCACGACTGTGCTGTTCTTCGGCTGGTTCTCCCTGTATACGTTGATTGACAGATGTCTCGTCCAGTCAGCGGTGAGTAATCCCAAACCAATGGCGCTGTCTCAAACTATACCTACCTCTTCCGGTTTGTCTGATTTGTGTTGTGTTTTCTGACTTGTTATTTTGTTTTCGGATTTGTTGTTGTGTTTTCTGACTTGTTATAATATTTTCTGAATTGTTGTTGTGTTTTCTGAATTGTTATTTTGTTTTTTAGACTTGCATTTGCGTTTGTAATTTGTTTTCAGAATTGTGATTTGTTTTGCACTTCTCGGCCACCGTACAAACGAGCTCAGAATGCCACACGCTGCTGGTCACAACGGTGTAAATGCAACAAAAACTACAGACAAATAGCAAAGGATTTATTTAATGTGCAATCTATTAAATGCAATTAACAAATCATCTAATACCAATAAATGTGAAGTGTCTGTATGCTGTTGTTTTACTCATTTGTAGGGCTTGTTTTGTGTATGGAGAGTTAGGTTAGTCGGGCCAATAAGAGACTTTTAACTCTACTACAACTACAACCGTTTTATTATACAAATGTTTCAATAAAAAATGTCTACAACCAGGGTTTTTGTGCGAATTACGGGGTAGAGTTGCTATCACACGACACCAGCAGGAGAGCGGATTTTTGTTCCCCGAATAATGCGATATTGATTTAAACAATATGTTAATGTTGTTACATTTTAGACACAATATTGCCAACGAAAATATTACCCATAAAGCCCTGGGAGAGCTGTTGTGCGTTTCTAATCATCAAAAACCCGCAAGTGAATCATTCGTTTCTGAATGAATCAGCTGTTTGAACGAATCGGTTGAGCCA